TTGAAATGTAATATAATTATTTTAATATGAAACAGCTTGAAAAATTAAAAGCTTTTATGTTCCAAACTCATTTAGTAATAGCTTAATTTTTGAAGCCATCAACAGTCCATTATGTAATATTTTTTGATATTTTGTAAATACAAATTTATTTAGATTGGTACTACTACATTAATTCATACAACTCTTAAATAGTGGTGTTAGATCATGTTGTGTTTGGATAAAACTTTTTAAAGAAATGTTTATATGAACTATGCTTTATTGTTTTCTTTAAGTAATGCAGTGTAATTTTTATTGGCATTTTGTGGTAATAAGTTTCAGATGAATATACAAGATGGAATAAATGTTTGAAAATTTATTTACTGTGAAACTTTAATGCAACTTAGATGTAGTTAGAAATACCATAATAATAACAATTAATAATAATCATAATCAGATGCTCCTTTTCTGGGCGACAGATTATTTTCTACAAAATTTAGTGCATATGTTATTCTTTTGCTTTGTGCTGGTCGATAGTGACTGAGTGAGAATGGGTATACAACATGAACATTTTATGTAAAGCAGGAGAAATAAAAAAAGAACTTCGGCTTGATTAAAAAAATCTCCTTTTGGGTTTGAGAAGGATTAAGTACTTAGCTGCTTGCAAAAACATTTAAAATACTCTGTGTACCCTCCTCGCCACTTGATTTTTCTTCCCATGATCCTAGCTCTTCTCTACCTAAAAGCTTTTTCACTTCTGACTAGGTGTGCACTTCATGTGGGTGCAAGGCAGTGAAAGTGTTTTTTTTTGTTTTGTTTTTGTTTTTTAAAGTCGCATCAACCTTTGCCAAGATTCATTCAGCACCTTGGTGAGCCTGACATTTGTTTGTGTGATATTGAAATTTAGCAGCCCTCTGATCATTATACAGTTCTGATCATTATACGGATTCTTGATTTCCCACCTCCAGCTTTTCTAAAGTGAATAGAGGAGTCCAACAATAAGCCTGTATATTTTTCTCACACAAAATCCACTTGCAGAATAAGCCTATCAGTTTTTGTTTGATTGATTGTTGTCTCTATTTTCACATATGTGATTTATTTACTTATAGGTAGCAGGAGGATCTATGTAGATTAGCACAGCTGCTCACTTTTTCACTCTCTAGATTGTATGGCTACGTAGGGCCTCCTATCTTATGCAGTTTAGATTTATGGGATATTATTAAATGAGGTTAAGAGAAATAATGTAACTACTGATTCTTTTCATACCCTTGTAATTTATCACTAATGTGTCAAATAAAATCACGGAATTTAGATCTATTGTTTTGGATTTAATGAACATTAATCTGAGCAGTATATTTTTCAGCATATGGACATGGTAGAAGCATAAAGTTTAATAACTTGCTGGCAGATTTGTTTTTAACATTGTCAGGCTTGTGTTTGGGGTAGGTAGGTAGGTGAGTCTAGAGCAATAAGGTCGGTTGCTTTATTTCAGTGTCTTGGACTTTCCCATTTTCTATTTTTAAAAATGTGTTAGAAATAGTTAAATGGAATAAATTTAGTTCTGTCACCTAGTGTTAGGAAGAAGCAGCCTGTACCCGAGTGCAGTTTTAATTAATGGGATTCAGTGAGAATGTGAATAGAAAGAATCAGGCTGTGATCTCTCATGGCTTGCTGTGATAGAACTGGAAACGTGCTGAACACTGATAAGCCAGCCTACGCCTACCAGGTGACAGCTGAACTGCCGCTTTTTGCAAAAGAACACCTGCTAAACTGTCATCAGTAGGGAGGTGCATGACAAGATAAATTTGGGAATTGCTGGCACTGAGAATGTTCTTTCTTATACATCCCTGCAACATGATTTGAAAACTCCAATCACTGTGTGTGTTTGTGTACTATATATTTACACACATGCTTATGCGTATATAAAGCATCCAATTGCTTCACATTTATGCTGGAACCATAGGATGGTTTATATATTTGTATATAGAGTATGACTTTTTTCATTCTTTAATCTTATCTCAGTGTAGTTTTTGCCATCTTCCCCCCCCGCCACTCCATTCTGGCCCAAAAGTACTGTGATGGTGGTGATATCAAGAACACGCCAGTATCTGGAGTGCCATTCCTTTGGGTTTCTTGTTTCATACAAACACAGAATGCACACACTACATTCATATGATTGTGAGAACAGAGTTTTGAGTATATGTGGGGTCCAAATGAGGAAATTAAATACAAAACGTGTTAGTATCATGATTGAGAGTTTAAGACATTAAAGGTAATATAAATTTCTACAGAAGTGTAGTGTGACCTTGTTATGGTGGCTGTGTAAAAGTTAACTAACTTTGAACTTTCTGCCTTTTACTGTATTTAAAAGTGCAACCACAATGTTGCCTTACCATAGTGTCTTTTCATTTTTGTGAGTTTGTCTCACCTGACTGTATTGTCAGGCAAAGCATTATTAGACCCACAGAAGACATCCCTCTGATCATTAATGTCTCCTGGTCTTCCATTAACCAATAACCACTGCTTGGTGCCCAAACATCTGCCCTTAAGTATTGTTCACAACAAATAGATTCTTTCCACTGGCCCTATTTTCTGACCTAAATTTAGTGTCAAGGGGCATGTCAAATGAAGTATATGGATTTTCGTTCACCTCTTTACTCTTTGATCACTAATGCCATCAAGTACCTCCTATCAGCCAGTTGAAGAGAGGATGTGGCAGGGCCATCTGTTCAGCAGCCTCCAGTGAGCTCATCCTTTCTGCAGCCTTTGATGGCTGGGGTCTAATGGAGCTCCCAATGGAAAGTAAAACAGTCCCTAACTGATGGGAACTCTTGGGGATTGCAAGCAGTGGTTCTGCTGCCCGTTCTCCATTGATGAATGGAGCAGACCCAAATAGCACATGGAGGTGCATATTACTCCACTAGCAAGAGAGAATCCTGCCCAACATCACTAACTTTATTCCACTGTTTTCTGAACATCTATATAGCATGCTGTTCACTATCTGGTATTCAACTTTTAAGTGTTTGGGGATTCTGTTTATATGAAAATGACTATACTGTACAAAATATAGTTGTATATTTTGTAGTGTCATTGGGTTTTTTCCTCACTATAACTTACTACTGAATCAGTGGGCTGCAGTCTCTTTCCACTGAATCACTCTCCATTGTATTTTGTAAGGAAAAGTGATTCTTTGGATAAATCCTTGTTTACTGCATAAAGTGGTGTTAAAGCTTCACTGCGCAGTGCTACTTGAGTACCTTTTCCCAGACCTGATGCTTTCCATGCTAAGCCTTTCTCCACACCCTCTGGGTAGAGTTCTAGTCATGTATTGTAGCAACATCCTGTCAATATCCTCAACACTGTTCAAAAACCCTCAGTAAAATAAGTGTTAATGGAGTGTAAGGAAGGAGGTTTTAATGGCACAAAGTTTAAGATATTCATTACATCATTTAGAATACAAAGAGTCTTCAGCATTATTAGTTATTGTAAAGTTGTAGTAGTGATATTACACAAAAAGTGTGGTTCTGCTTCCTTGAAAAAGACTTTGAAGAAATGGCACCTGTTTGTGTATTATCCACTAATAGAATGTGTGAAAGCTAAATTAGCTCCTCACTTATACATGTCCCACTGTCTTCAGAATAGGTTGTCAGTGACACCTGTGAAACCTAATTAGCATTAAATGGGTCAGGCACTGAAAAGTTGTGTGGGGATGGGAAAGAGAGAGGAGAAGAAATCCCCCTCTATCCTACTTCAATAACATGGAGCATCTGTGGCACCATTCTAGAGAAGCTACTTAAGGCCAGTGGATGAAGTAGCCTACCCAGCCATTAGAGTATGCCCCCTCTATTGGGGAAGGTAGCCAGGGCCGACGAGAGGAGGGGGGAAGCCGGTACAAATTACCGGGGCTCGGCGGTACGGAAGGGGGCCCGGGGCCCGGCTTCCCCCCCTCTCGTCGGCCCTGTTTAGCCGGTCCGCCCTTGCTGGGGGGCCCGAACCCGCTCTCGGTGGCCCTGTAGAAGTTTGGCTCATACCTTCCCCTGCTGGCTGCCACCCTGCCTTGTCTGGTCACTTTAAATCTTATGCTCTACTCATTGCCCCTCATGTATTGTTAATAGGGGTCGTCTGCTTTTGTGAACACTTTCTGAATTTATGGCCTACTCTAATGTGGGCATACTGATGGGCCAGAAGCTTGTTATTTCAAAATGTAGTCAGTAAAGTCTCCTTGGGTGCATTCAGGTCTGCCTATATTTAATCCAAATTGGATGCTATGTGCAATTGTCAAAATAGACATCAGCAAATATAATTTTCATTTCTTTAATAAGAGAAGGTCTTTTTAAATATGTTGTTTGTGTTTTTTTTCTTGTTATGTAGATCACACAGGAGGCAGGGGAATTTATGATAACCTTCCCATATGGATACCATGCGGGATTTAACCATGGTTTCAACTGTGCAGAATCAACCAACTTTGCCACAATCAGATGGATTGATTATGGAAAAGTAGCTAAATTGGTAAGTAGGAAGAAGAACAATTAAGTTCATCTTGTACATCATCCTGTCAATGCAGTAATATTCCATATTGTGCATTTACTAGCATGTTATAACACTTGCAGTACATGTATTTGTTATTGTAGTAGATTTTATGTATGACTTAATGTGTATATTGTATGTTAAAAATCTTTTTTTTTCAAGAGATATTTTTATGTAGTTAAGTTTATATAAGGCCATATAAACTGATAATTATGTTTGGAAGGGAGACACAGAATTTCTTTCTGTTCTTCTGAAACCCTATACATCTTAGTCCTAGAGGCAGCTTGGAAATCCTCTTATTCAAGTCACATATAGCAATTCTGCTCCCTTATAGAATTTTATATGTATCTTGGAAAACATGCCAGAGACTTGAGGGGAAATGTGCCTGTTCAAAAGAGGACAAAGATCAATAAGAGGGCTGACCTAAATGAGCAAATTAAACTTTAATCTGTAATGTTTTTTTTAAATGGCAATATTTTGTGATAAATTAAATATGCTCCCAGAGTGGCAATGTTTCATAATTTAAAATCACGAATATATTTTACAAAAGAGCAGTTTCGTGTCACTGTTTTAGTCTATGCAGTGATGGTGTAGCTATGTCAACTCGAGGATATTATAGAGACAAGGCGGATGAGGTAATATCTTTTATTGGACCAAGTTCTGTTTGTGAGAGAGACAAACTTTTGAGCTAAACGGTGTAGCTCAAAAGCCTCTCTGACCAACAGAAATTGGTCCAATAAAAGATATTGCCTCACCCAACTTGTTCCTTCTATTTTAGTCTGAAATTTTGCATATGCTGCATGTATTTTACATTCTGTTCACATACAGCATGTGGGTAATATACTGAATCAAATGTGTGTATTTTGTTCAGCAAAAGGTCATTAATGTTGTACAGTATTTTATATGATCTCTCCACTATTAAAAAGTATGGATTATAAGAGCATTGTTTAGGATGCTTTGATAAATATGTAATGTGGAGCCACTTTGCAGACTGAGATATTTTGTACTGACAACAACAGCATCTACAAATTGTGTATGTGTTACATTAGCTAATGAGATGACAAGTGAATTAAGTTCAAAAGCAAACGTGGGAGGAGGCAGGGTTGCAACAAAATAATCCAGGAAGAGTATAGGGTTAAATACTTGGAATTGGAAGAAGACCTTGAGAATATTTTCTATTAGCAGAACTTCTTGATTTTAGGCAATATTGACTATAATTGTGAATGAGATTGATGAGTGGGTTTCAAGAGATAAAAGGCCTGAAAATGATTCATTGTTTCATGTGGCCTATACATAGGCATTTACTGTAATTAAAATAATGAAAACATTAATAAGAATTTAAAATGTTCAGCTAGGTCTTCACTTTTAATGCAAAACTTACATTCATGATAGGTAATTAATAAGGCCCTGATTGGTAATACTGATTTTTAAGATCTATATATTTAGTAGCTCAGTGGTTCAAAAGATAGTAAAATGAACCACCATGTAGAAGACTTGAGTTTAACATATCTCTAGGGGTCAAATTCAAATGTGGGGTAAGCCGATCCGTTGAAAAGTTAGTGGAGTTTCCCTCTCTTAGTCCTGAATTTGGTTCTAAAAGTCCTAATTTTTGGCTAGGAGGTCTTGGTTCATTTAGTCCATTTTGAGTATTCTTTGTCCATGGAAAAAGCAGTCATTGAAATACATTGACTTTCATGCTGTGTACCGAAGGTGTAATACTGTGTTCATGTATTGTATAAGAAGGTAAAATGGCTTCAGGGTGTTTGTAATCAATTCAAAGTGTCTGAAATCTTCCAAATACTATTTGAATCAATAATAAGAAGAATATCTGCTATACAGAAATCTTAGGGTATGTCTACACTACGAGGGTAATTCGATTTTACTTAAATCGAATATGTGGAATCGATATTGCAAAGTCGAACGTGTGTGTCCACACTAAGGACACACTAAGGACAGTAATTCGACTTTGTGAGTCCACACTAACGGGGCGAGCGTCGATATTGGAAGCGGTGCACTGTGGGCAGCTATCCCACAGTTCCCGCAGTCCCCGCTGCCCATCGGAATTCTGGGTCGAGCCGCCAATGCCTTCTGGGTAAAAAAAATTTGTCGTCATCCGTCCGTCACTAACGCCCTCCCTCCCTCCATGAAAGCGCCGGCGGGAAATCAGTTCGCGCACTTTTATGGTCAGTGACAGCGCGGACACCACAGCACTGCGATCATGGATCCCGCTGCGACCATCGCTGCACTTGTGGCCGTTCTCAACACCTCGCAGCTTATCATACACCTTTCCCTGAGGCAGATGCAGAGAAATCGGGCGAGGAGGCTACGGCACCGCCGTGAGAGCCTGAAGTCGGAGAGTGGCACAGAGCTGTCAGAAACCACGAGCCCCAGCGCCCAGGACATGACGTTGGCAATGGGGCATGTGGATTTTGTTGAACGGCGATTCTGGGCCCGGGAAACAAGCACGGAATGGTGGGACCGTATAGTGCTTCAGGTCTGGGATGAATCCCAGTGGCTGCGAAACTTTCGCATGCGGAAGGGGACTTTCCTCGAACTTTGTGAGTTGCTGTCCCCTGCCCTGAAGCGCAAGGACACCCGCATGCGAGCAGCCCTCACTGTCCAGAAGCGAGTGGCCATAGCCCTCTGGAAGCTTGCAACGCCGGACAGCTACCGGTCAGTCGCGAACCACTTTGGTGTGGGCAAATCTACCGTGGGGGTTGTTGTCATGCAAGTAGCCAAGGCAATCGTCAAGGTACTGCTCCCAAAGGTAGTGACCCTGGGAAACGCGCAGGTCATCATAGATGGCTTTGCCGCGATGGGATTCCCAAACTGCGGTGGGGCTATCGATGGGACTCACATCCCTATCCTGGGACCGGACCACCAGGCCAGCCAGTACATCAATAGAAAGGGCTACTTTTCAATGGTGCTGCAAGCACTGGTGGACCATCGGGGACGGTTTACAAACATCTACGTCGGATGGCCGGGCAAGGTTCATGACGCTCGCGTGTTCAGGAACTCTGGTCTGTTTAGACGGCTGCAGGAAGGTATTTACTTCCCAGACCACAAAATAACTCTTGGGGATGTGGAGATGCCTACAGTCATCCTCGGGGACCCAGCCTACCCGCTAATGCCCTGGCTCATGAAGCCCTATACTGGCGCCCTGGACACAGAAAAAGAACTCTTCAACTACCGGCTGAGCAAGTGCAGAATGGTGGTGGAGTGTGCTTTTGGCCGTCTCAAAGGGAGATGGAGAAGCTTACTCACTCGCTGTGATCTCAGTGAAACCAATATCCCCATCGTTATTGCAGCTTGCTGTGTGCTCCACAATCTGTGTGAGAGCAAGGGGGAGAACTTTATGGCGGGGTGGGAGCTAGAGGCAAATCGCCTGGCTGCTGATTACGTCCAGCCAGACAGCCGGGCCATTAGAAGATCCCAGCGGGACGCCCTGTGCATCCGGGAGGCTTTGAAAGCTAGGTTCCTGAGTGAGCAGGGCAACCAGTGACTTTTCAGTTTGTGGACAGAAAAGCTGAACCTGCCCCCGTTTCTTTACCCAGTTCATTTTGACTATCCTCTCCAGTTACATACCCCCTTCACCCCCTTCCCCTTCCCAAAAAATAAAATCATTTCGATTTTGTTAATGAACACCGTTGTCTGTATTGCTGTTTTCGCGGGAATATTTTAAACCGGGGACGCAGACTGTGGCGGGGGGCGGGTTTAGTGTTCTGATGCAAATGATGCTTCTAAACTCCCGGAATGACAGGCTCCGCACTGGTGGACTGGTTATTTCAATGGAGCCTGCCAGCACTCCTGGGGGGGACTGTGTGTATGTGTCGGCTATGTGACTTTCTGGCAGGGGGGGTAGGGTTACAGATCCCCTGCTGCGTGGATCTGTGAGCCAGGATAAGGACCGCTGCATAAGATCTGTAACCGCCCTCCCCCACCACAAAGTAACAGAGCAACCCCCCCCCCAGAACATGAAAACCACCTCCAAGACTGACCAGGGTAACCAGTGACCGCACTGTGTATGTGTCCTGATGCTGGACCTGACACCGCCTCTGTACCCTGCTAAAGGTCACTGTCCTGTCCAATTACCAAGCCCCTTCCCCCCCTCCAGACAGACTCTCCCTCAAAAGAACCTGACTGAAACAGTAATGAACAGAAACAAACATTTTATTGCGAACCAGACATGAAACGTGGGGGGTGAAACTTGGACGGGGGCTTGTGTGAGGTGGGTAGGAAAGGACTTATGAAATTTTGGGGAATGTCAGCCTTCTACTGCTAGAGCAGTCTGCAGGGGTTGATTGAAAGTTTTAACGGCCCTTGCCGCCCCTCCTTCTTTGGACTTTGGGTGAGGGTGGTGTGGGACTTGGTGGCGGGTGAGGGCGGTTACAGATAGACTGCAGCGGGGCTCTGTCCTCCTGCCTCCGGTCTTGCAGAACATCCACAAGGCGCCGGAGCGTGTCCGTTTGCTCCCTCATTAGTCCAAGCAGCTTTTCAGTAGCCTGTTGGTCCTCCTGACGCCACCTCTCCTCCCGTTCCATGACTGCTCGGTGCATTTGTGACAAGTTCTCCCTCCACTGTGTCTGCTGGGCTGCCTGGGCTCGGGAGCAGCCCATTAGTTCTGTGAACATGTCTTCACGCGTCTTCTTCTTCCTCCGCCTAATCTGCGCTAGCCTCTGGGAGTGTGCTGACAGGCTGGGTTGGGAGACAGTCGCAGATGTGTCTGTGTGAATTTTAAAAAGGGAGTGAATTCCTGAGACAGATAAATGAAATTGTATACAAAGAACCTAGTCTTTCTCTGTGAACAAGACCATGCACTGAACCTCTCACATGCGCACTCAGGACAAGGTCGAATTTTCGGCCGTCGCCTTCAGTGCCTGTGGACTTGCGGAGGTCTTGGAGTGTTCAGAGAACTGTGGCTGGAGACCTGAACTTCTGGAGCGGGCAATAATGGTAAGCCGCAGACTTGTGGCTGCTTAAAA